TCCCTGGGGCTGAAGGTGTTGAGGGTTTGGGGAGCTAGCGTGGGTGAGGTGCACCGTAGAAAGCCTTCCCCAGGGATGGTGAGGGTTTGGGGAGCTAGGGTGGGTGAGGTGCACCGTAGAAAGCCTTCCCCGGGGGTGGGGGTGGGGATGGTGAGGGTTTGGGGAGCTAGGGTGGGTGAGGTGCACTGTAGAAAGCCTTCCCCAGGGGGTGGGGGCCGTGAGGTGTATTGTGGAAAGGTTCCCCCCACTCCTGGAACGTTGCTCTCCCCAAGCCTTTCACTCCCTTTAATTTACCTACTATGAACTGTAAGTGAAACTTCGGACCCTTAAAAGCCCTCCCCTCTCCCCTGACCCACCTTAGGGCCCTTTGACTACCCAGTAGTAGTTTAATCCCCACTGCCTCCCAACCTTAAATTTTGTGCTCCGAGAACCCTAAGCTGCTGGGTGTTGCCTTTGGCACTGTCCGTCTGCTGCCTCTGGCCTCTCCTTTCACAGGAGAAGAGATGCCCAGGTGCAAGAGAGCTGTGTGTCTCTGTCTGCCTGCCTGCCTTGGTGAGGGTCATGTACTCCCTTCCAGCGGGTCCCACGCTATTAGGGGCTCAGCTCCATCCCTCTTTGGGCTGGAGCAATTATTCTGAAGCTTTTCCTGAAGCTTTGCATTAGCTCGAAGTGCTTAACGTCTGTTATTTTTAATGTCTCTTTCTATTTCCCAGCACTGCACACTGCAATAATGTAATGGGGAAATTACCCCGCTAGTTAAAAATTACTGCCGGAGTGACAGCCACCCATAGATCTATTTTAAAACCAGGGTAAAACTATATTGATTTCTCGGCGCGGTGACTGTGGCCTGTAAAAGGGTTGGAAAGGAAGGTGGGTTTGTGACATTGCCACCGCCTGTGGGAGAGCCCGTGCTGGGTTGCAGGGAAAGTGAAGGAGGTGCCCATGGCTTTGATGCTGTGTGTGGGGGCATGGGCAGCACACGGGCAGCCTCAGCTCTCGATTCAGGGCACCCCGAGCGCTGTGTGCGTCAGGAGTTTGGGGAGCTGGGACTCGTGCTCAGGCCCCATGGGGCTGGTTGTTGTTTGTATTGTGGTAGTGCCTAGGAGCCCCATTGTGCTGGGTGCTGTACACACACACAGCCGCTGCCCCTGGACAGTGTGGGCTGTACTCCCTTCAGGTCAGGGTGGGGAAGCTTTTGTCTGTGCCTAATGGCGAAAGCCCAGCCAGTGCTTACCCCTGTGAAGCACTTTTCATTAGAGCACCGCCAGGCAGGAGCATTATACCTTTTGCCGAGACACGGGGAGGTGACTTGCAAAGGGTTGTGCCGGGAGCTGGGGCCGGAGCCAGGAATAGAGAGCAGGTGCCCTGACTCCTGGTGTGCTGCTCTGTTCCCCCTGCAGCACTGCTGGGTGCTCTAGTGCTGGGTGCGCCACGGAAGCTTTGCTCTTGTTTGGGATCTGAGGGAGGATCAAACCCGAGGTCCCAAATCTGAGCAGGGGGTACCCAGAAAGGGGCAGAGGGGGAAGGGGACAGAGGCGTCATTAACGGGAAGGGGGGGCGTAAAACGGAGTGTTGGTAATGGGGAGGGGACTGGCATCTTTGTCAGCAAGGGGAAGGGGAGCGGAAGCCCAGCTGTGGCAGGGAAGGGAGTGGAGGCCTAGTTGGGGGTGGGCTGGGGAGCACTGGTAACGAGGTGGGGAGTGCCGGTAAGAGGGAGGGGAGCAGGGCCCATGCCGACGGCACAGCGGGGAGCACTGGTAACGGGGTGGGGAGTGCCAGTAAGGGGGAGGAGAGCAGGACTCATGCTGACGGCACAGCGGGGAGCACTGGTAACGGGATGGGGAGTGCTGGTTGGGGGAGGAGAGCAGGGCCCATGCCGACGGCACAGCGGGGAGCACTGGTAACGGGATGGGGAGTGCCGGTAAGAGGGAGGGGAGCAGGGCCCATGCTGACGGCACAGCGGGGAGTACTGGTAACGGGGTGGGGAGTGCCGGTAAGGGGGAGGGGAGCAGGGCCCATGCTGACGGCACAGCGGGGAGCCCTGGTAACGGGATGGGGAGTGCGGGTTGGGGGAGGGGAGCAGGGCCCATGCTGACGGCACAGTTGGGAGCATTGGTAATGAGGTGGGGAGTGCCGGTAAGGGGGAGGGGAGTGCAGTGCTTGCAGGAGAAATCGGTGGCTACAGGCACACACTTCAGCTCCTGCCTGCGGCTCCCCAAGCAGCTGTCAGCTCCTCCCCGCAGAGTTACACCCTGCCCATAGTCCCCAGTGCCCTGCACCCTGCGAGGGGGCAGCCCCTCTCCCCACCATGTGGAGCTCTCCGCTCTCTCTAGTAGCTCAGGGGTGTCTCTCTTAATTAAATACATTTGTTTTGTAAAACTGACTAAAAATAATCCGGGGCTGGTGCATGCGGGATGCTGGTGGTGAATCAAAGGCGCCGCTCTAATTAAACAGGCCCCGGTTTGTTTGTGAGCCGCATATATTTCCATGCTAATCAGCCGCACACTGGGATCCTACCTTCCCAGCCCCGCATCCTCTGCCTGAGTGGGAACTATGCAAATGCTGGAGTCTGTTTATTGCAGCGAGGACTGCAAAGCTTTCAGCATGCTTTGGGGTGCTGGGTGGGGCGGGAGGGGTTACTCTGCAGAGATTGGGTGAGGGTTGGAGAAGCCAATTTCTGTTGTGCCTTTGCTTTTAGCAGCCAGTGCATTGGATGTTTTGGGGCAGGGTTTGGGCTCAGAAGGCTCTGAGACCTCCCGCCTGGCACTCTCCATCTGTCCCGGCAGGAGCATGGCTCCTGTTACTGGCCAGTGTTCTGTTTCCCATTTGTTAGTGGTGAAGGAGCCTGCCTGTCTGCCCACGCCCCAAGAGACTCACTGCTGCGAGGAACATGCCCATAAATGCTCTGGCCTGTCCCGAGGCCGCTTTGATCATCTGAGTGCCAGATCCATGCAGAATGGCAGTCTCCCACTCCCAGGGGCCAGGGGCTCAGTGTGAGTGAGTGACAGGGTCACGGGCGCTGGCTTTGTTAGCAGGGCCGGAGGCTCTGGAGGACGCCCCTTTCTCTGTGTCTCTGGATTCCTCCTGGGAATGGGTGCGGGGCCTCCTGCTCCAGTTCTGAGATGCCTTCTCTGCAGAGGCTGCTGAAGGCCAGGGGCTGCTGGAGTCTGCTAGGTTCCCAGGCTACGCCATTAGCTGAAAGTGGAAATGGCAAATATGCCCCGTGGCTGGAGACAGAACACTATATGGGGAGGGCTCTGAGTTACTCCAGAGAATTCTTTCCCGGGTGCCTGGCTGGTGGGTCTTGCCCACATCCTCACGTTCTAACTGATCGCCATATTTGGGGTTGGCAAGGAATTTCCCCCCCAGGTCAGATTGGCAGAGACCTTGGCGGGGAGGGGGGCTTCGCCTTCCTTTTCAGCATGGGGAACGGGTCACTAACTGGTCTGAACTAGAGTAAATGGTGGCGTCTCTGTAACGTGCAGTCTTTAAACCATGATTTGAGAATGTCAGTAACTCAGCCTGAGATTCGGGGGCTATTACAGGAGTGGGTGGGTGAGGGTGTGTGGCCTGCAATGTGCAGGAGGTCAGACTAGATCATCACAATGGTCCCTTCTGACCTGAAAGTCTATGAGTGTGTTTGTTTGTTGCAAGCAGGGAGTGGCAATTGGGTTCAGGGAATTAACCCTGCTGAATTTAACCCCACCTAGTGGGTGACTATCTCTGTGGTGTTCCTAATGTGGTTATTGCCAGTACAGTGAGAAAGCAAGGCATTTAGGAAGAGTTTTAATGTAAAAGGGAGCTGTAAAGGGATTAAAGCATTTGCTGTGGCCCTGCACAGCTCGAGGAACAGAGGTGCTTTCTGAACCTCTGCTGACCCTGTCTTATCTCCGTTATACAGTGGGATCCCTAGACCTTCCTAGGCCCGACCCAGAATAATGCCTTGAACCCTTGGGACCTTCCTTGAATCTCAAGGGAGACTGACCTACGGAGGTGGTAGCCCTTTCTGGCTATTACTGTGTCAAATCCCTCTGCCCCTTGTCAGACATGGCTCAGTTCTGGGCTGTTCTGTACAAGGGGCACCACATCCCAGAGCAAGGGGGAACAAGGCCCTTTCTTCACAGCTCTGGGGACACTGACCTGGGAATTCTGGCCTCCTCCAGCTCAAAAGATATTGACAGACTGAAGGGAGCTCAGAGGAAAGCAGCAAAAATAACCAGGTGGCTGCAGGGCTTGGCTTCTGGGGAGGGATGAACAGAGCGAAGTCCGCATAGCCTGGCTGAATGACGATGAATGGGAAGGCAGTTCCTGCCTGTGCGTCTCTGACGAGGGTAAATGCCAGGAGGGATTGGCTGCCTGAGACTGAGCCAGTGGGGTAGAATGAGGAGCAGTGGGATGAAAGTGAGCAAAGGGAAGTGTGGGATGAGTAAATGGCAGGATTTCCTGAGATTGTCCCCAGAGCGATAGCCCTGTTGCTAGGGATGTTGACAGCTGAACTCTGGGACTGGAGAACAGACTGAGGGCACAGTCTTGTCCTGGGTGGGTCTACTCCCTGCTCCCCCCCTCTGTTTGTGTGCAGATTGTGTAGAGAAAGGAGGGGCCATGGGAAAGTGGTGCATTACATCTGCCAGATGGCAGAGAGGGTCTGGAGAGCTTTCCGAAGCCTGCGCTGCTCCTCCAGTGCTTCCCTAAGGCAGCCAAAGCCCCTCCGAGGTCTGGAGCCTGAGGGCCTTTCTCACCAGGTTGATTTCTGCGGCTGTCTAATTTTCATGAAGTCAGCAATGGCTCTTGTCTCCGCTTGTGGTCCTGGCTGGAAACCACGCAGGGCGGAGACAAGTGGAAGGTGACAAGGCGGAGTGTTGGAGGAGGGGAGATTGAGGCCTCCTGACGAGGGTCCATGCGTGATTGAAACCCCTCTGTGCGTGCCTCATTGCTGTGACTGCAGCATTTCCCCTCCCTGCGTGGGAGACAGCGCTAACCCTCTCCCCTCTGGTCCGCAGATCCTGGTGGACTTGTCCAGTCCCAGCGGGCGTCCGGCGCTGCAGTATGAGAATGTCGTGGCCCACGAGGGCAGCTCCATCCTGCGAGACCTGGTGCTCAGCCCCGACCGCCAGCACATCTACGCCATGACTGAGAAACAGGTAACTACCCAGGAGGGAGAGGCAAGGCTCGCTCTGCTTCACCAGCAAGATCAGTGTGAAGTTGGCAGCTGAGGGGACCAGCCTGTGCTGCAGTTGGCAGCAGCCATCTCACCCCAATCCTACAAGAGGCAGGGTCCCAGCCTGCTCCCATCGCTGCAGTGCCCAGGCACCAAATAGAGGAGTAAGCAGCATGATAGGGACAGAAGCTGCTTTGTTCCTGCTTCCCCAATCACAGAGTGCCAGCACTGTCCCTCTCGTCTCCCCAGAGCCTCTGACAGAGGCCTGAGACCCCCTCTGCATGGCCCTGCAGTCTGACAGCACGAGCTCTAGACCAGGATGGGCAAACTTTGGGGTTGCGAAACTGTATGGAAGGCCGGGTAGGGAAGGTGGTGCCTCCCCAAACAGCCCCTTCCCACTTCCCGCCCCCTGATTGCTCCCCTCAGAACCTCCAACCCATCCAACCCTCCTTGGTCCTTATCCCCTAGCCGCCCCCCTCCCCCCCCCAGACTCCCGCCCCTATCCAATCCCCTGCTCCCAGTCACCCAACCCCTATCCACAACCCCGCCTCCTGACAGGCCCCCCGGGACCCCACACCTATCCAAACCCCCTTGTTCCACGTCCCCTGATCCCTATCCATATCCCCACCCCCGACAGGCCCCTCCCCCCGCAGAACCTCCGCCCCATCCAACTACCCCCTGCTCCCTGTCCCCAGACTGCCCCCCGGGACTCCCTGCCTCTTATCCAACCCTCCCCCACAGCCCCGGCCCCCTTACCATGCCGCTCAGAGCAGCATGTCTGGCAGCCATGCAGCCAGGCCAGAGCTAGACACGCTGCCGCTCTGCTCGGCAGGAGCGCGCCGCTCCGCCGCCCAGAGCGCTGCCCATGCGGTGGCATGGTTGCGGGGAAGGGGCCAGGGGCTAGCCTCCCTGGCTGGGAGCTCAAGGGCCGGGCAGACTGGTCCTGCGGGCCGGATGTGGCCCACGGGCCATAGTTTGCCCATCTCTGCTCTAGATACTCACGCTGGAGTTTGCAGAGGAGCCTGGTGGGGGGTGCAGTGCCCTGCTCCATTTGGATGCAGTGGGCACTCAGAACTCAATTCTCTTTCGCTCCTTTGGAAATCCCAGCTTGAACGCTGACGAAAGGCTTCCTTTGAGGGTCAGTCTGCTCCTTGGTCCACCATAAGGGGGTGTGGAGCTATGTGTGATCTTCTCTCTGCCTAGCTTCTGCTATGCCCTGGGGCTCAGTGAGCCACCTCAGTCGCTCCCCCTAGCCAGCGCACTAGCCAGCGGAAAGGGATGGGTGCTAGCTCTTCTGCACTGGTATTGCCGCTGGGTTGGCCCCACTGGGCAGCAGGCAGTTATCTCTTATGGTCTGCTGGAAGAAGTAGGACAAACAGTCCATCTGACAGGTTTCAGAGTAGCAGCCGTGTTAGTCTGTATCCGCAAAAAGAAGAACAGGAGTACTTGTGGCACCTTAGAGACTAACAAATTTATTAGAGCATAAGCTTTCGTGGACTACAGCCCACTTCTTCGGATGAGCTGACCAAATACAGCTCCCTTAGCCTGTTTCTTTACAGCACATGTTCAACACAGCATGGTTTGCTATGAGAACTTGGCAATGCTGTGTATAGTCATGAGTGTTTGTATCCACCAGTATGCCTACACATGAGTGCACATACCTGTGCGTGTGTGTGGATATGCATATATCTGTGTTTGCATGCTTCCAGCTCTCTGGACCATTGCTGTGGCCCTGTGAGGTAGCGATATCACCTTCTGGCTGTCTCCAGCCCTGCTAAGGGAGGATTGCCATCGGTGGCCTGTGTGAAATGAGTCTATCTGTTCTTAGTCCTGTGCCTGGCAGCCAGGAGCCTCTGACTGGCCTCTCCTTTGACAGTCCTAGCAGAGGCTGAGGCTGGAGTACATGTTGGTGACTGGACTCCCTTGTAGGCCTGAGTGGGGGTTTGCCTTCCACGGAAGAGCAGATGCTCTGCTGAGGGAGCTTGGGCTGCCGCTGCCTATGCTGGGATGGAGGGATCCAGTCTCCAGGGCTGTCCATGCATCAGGACATTCCCGTGGAGAATGGGGGGAAGCGTAGTGCAGGGGCGTCCCTGTTCCCCCCAACAGCTGCTCGTGCCCACGTTCCTGTCACCTTTCCCTCCCTGGGCCCCCTTTCCCACCGAGCTCTTCCAGATCACCGCCTCCCTTCCTGCCTGCCCCTCTCCTCCAGCCCTCCCAGCAGGGAAGTCACCTTTGCTCAGGTGTTTAGCAGGAGACTGAGTGAAAGGGTCAGAGAAGCCCATATCCCCAAAGGGAGGGGGAACTCCAGGGAGCTGCCAATAATCGTTAACATGCCATGGGAACCCTCTGCTAGGAGCCTGCTGGAGCAGCACTTGTGGGGAAGGCAGCTGTCTGCACTGGGGCCTTAGTATTACCCAGGCACCCTGCAGGCTGCTCCAGAGATGGGGGATCGCAGGACCAGGTAACCAAGAGGGACATTCAGGCCAGCGAAAGCTCAGGGGAGCAGGGCAGGTAGGCGTGGGGGGGGGGGAGGGGAAGGAACAGCCTGGTGAGCAGCTTCCGCCCCCCCTTTCGTCCTTCATGGCCACTAGGCAGCAGGCACAAGTGACCTTCCAGTGGGACTGAGCCCAGTGGGGGATGTCTGTTCCCAGGGGACAGACGGGGAGAGCAAGACACCCAGCGGGTCACTGGCAGGCCTACATGGGACACAGCAGCCCCTGCTGGTTGGCTGCCCCACTGGGTCATGGCTCAGGGGATACTAGCCACCCCATCCTCCTCCACTGCAGGCAGGCTTGCTGGAGATGTAGTGTTCTTGCCCTGGGAGGGCTTGTGTAGGGTCTGTGCCTATGTTCCTGAAACAGCCATGTCCGGCGCCCCATGACAGCGTGGCTGTCCCTTGGCGAGTTGTGAGCACTCTTCCCCCTTGCAGTGTGCTTACCTGTGCTGTGCCTTGCTCAGAGTGCAGCTGGAGCAGGGACATGGGATGAACCAAGGGGGGAGTAGGCCTCTTGCCCCCCTGAGATGGACTCCTGCCGGAGCTGTGTCGTGGCCTAGCTTCCCCGATGTGGCTGGGTGGGCAGGGTGGGTGAGCTGTGGCAGGTGGGTCTCAGTCTCCCAGTCTGTGCACGTGGCTGGAACCACAGCTGAACTAGAATCATGATATATCTCCAGGCTGTTGTCCCAGGTGGGGGATATGAAAACGGGGCCTTTGATTGGTCCAGAAACCCCATGGGGACGGAGCAGCCTATTTCCTCCTTCTCCTGCCAGCCCCTGTTTCCGGTTTACAATCTGCCAGAGACTCCGAGGAGACCTGGGCTCTCTGGGTGATTTGCTGACTGGGAGGCTGTCGGCCGAATCCCCCAACCCCGGTGTCTCAAAGGGCCTGGGATGCGGCTCAGTGGTGAGCCTCTCCGCACCAAGCCCCTTACTATTCCCAGCTCTTCCATTTCCTCCTCTCCCTTTCTGCTGGTTAACGGCAGCAGGATTGATAATGGGCCGTAACTCTTTCTTAGCGGAGCAGCCTCTCCCCTTGGCCCTGCGTTCCCAGGTCTGGGCTGTCCCCTCCTGACAGACATGCGTTGGGGAAGCTGGAAATTGTGGCAGTGCTGAAGTGATAGCGGGAGATGGTCTTCAGCTCCAAGGCAGAAGCTGAAAGAGAGACCATGTTCCTGAGTCTGCAGGCCATGCATGGAGGTTTCACTCCCTACGTAAGTCCCTGCTTCCCCCCGTTCTGCACTCCCAGCCCCATCCTAGATGCCCTAAGCTGTGGCCAGCTGGGGAGCGAGGAGTGATGACCAGAAGGGGTGGTCTGATGGAGAATTGTTGGTGGAATTGTCTGGCCTGGGTTATCCAGGAGGTCTGATTGGATTGTCAGGCCACAAGAGAACGTTAGGACCATCTATGGATGCTCCAGGGCACTTTGAACCACAGAGGGTTCCCTGCTCCCCAGGGGATCAGAGGGCTTGAAGTTGTGTATGTGGGGATCCCATAGGGAAAGGCTGGAGATGGGATGGGGGCGGGGGGAAGAGTACCCTAAAGGAAAGGGTGGGGGAAAATCTGAGAAGCTGTTTCTGGCTGCCTCCCTGTCATTGCCCTGTTGCAGTTCTACGGCCTGGCTACAACAGCCTCCCCTTGGTGGGATATTTGGGAGGCAGCCGGACAGACGAGGGCTTTGCTCAGTGAACCCCAACAGGAGGGGATTTATTGCTGAGTTGCAGTGTTTTTCACAGCGAGGATAGCAGGACATTAACCCTATTGTGTTGGGTGCTGTACAGACAGATTGGAAGTGGGTATTATGACATTTGCTTTTGCAGCTTCTCTCTCTTTGCTGACAAAGCAAAGAACTCTCTTGCCTTCTGAAACCTCCTCCCACCCCCGTCTTCTCCTTTCCTCAATAAAAAGAGCTCTCTTCCATTGCAGCCTGGTGTTATCAGGGTGTTGCTGGAAAGTAATTAAATGAACAGTTGTAACAGAGCTCGGAGGGCCAGAGAAACGAGGGGATTTTAATCAAATCTGGAGGAGCAATTAATAAAGAGCTTGTAACCCTTTAAGGCTAACTCCTGCTGTCACATATTGGAGAGTGCAGGGGTCTGGCTAGCATCTGAAATGGGCATAGAGGGCTGTAAAATGCTAGTCCGTTTTCCTAAACTCTGGAGAGTCCAGTTGTTCATTGTGCTCCACAGAGGTTGGCTGGATTGCCAGGATCCCCAGCCATTCGCCTTTCTCTATGCCAGACCTGCCTTTGATTCCAGTACCTGAGCCATCTTGGCAATGAGCTTGGTGGGGTCTCAGTCTGGTCCCTGCTTGTGCATCACAATCCTGGCATGACATCCGTTATAATCTGGAATAGTTGTCAGCCTCATTCAGGGGAGGCCCTTCCGTGGGGGGGGCGGGGTGCTGCAGTTCAGTGTTGAGGGGCATCTGTAGAGGGTGGGGGCCCAGGACTGGAATAGCAGTGGTGGGCTGCTGGTCAGGATTGAGGGGTGTCTGTAGAGTCATGTAGGAACTGTGGGTCAGAGTGGAGGGGGATTGGCAGGGCTGTAGGAGGAGGGCAGGGCTGGGATAGTGGGGTGATGGGGGACTGAAGGTCAAGGTTGAGGGGCATGTCTTTGCAAGATGTTTGAGAAATGTTGGACACAGCCCTGTGTCCCTTTCCATGAAAGCCGGAGAGCACTAGAGAGGCTGTGTCTGTGCTGGGTACATTGGCTCTCTTAGGTCCCTCGTGAGCTGTTTTTCTCTCTCAAGGTTCAATAATTCTTGATGGAAATAATGTAGCTTTTCTTAGTGCCTTTGCCTCTGGGCTGAAATGAACTCGGTGTTCCATTGGCTGCTGGGAACAGATACAGAGCAGCCTTGCCTGCCCTCCCTCTCACCATTGAGCTTCCTAAGGAGCTAAGTGTGTGGGGTCCACTGGTGCAAGCAGAGGTGTCCTCACCTGGTCCAGGAGTTTCCAGCCTCTCTTCCCCTTCTTAGCTACCTGCAGGGGAGCTCAGACTGGTCCCCACAGGAGATTATACGTTAGGTGTCGAAGGTGGTAGGGCTCTTTCCAACCACGCCAGGTGACCTACAGGCCATTGAAGACCAGGTTAGGCTGGTAAGGGGGGAATGTCCTACCGACCCTGCTCCTTTTAAAATCTCCCCTCTTCCGTGCAGCTGCAGGGTAGGCATCTGGCCGTTGTCCATCAGGGGCTGTAAGCATGTTAGCCTGTCACAGCTGTTACTTATGGAATGCTGCTGCTCTTTGAAACATCACTGATGGCCGCAGCAAGGAAGGCCATGGCTACACTAGGAGTGCTGTACAGGTATAGGGATATCAATGTACCGTAGCAGCAAAGCGCTGCTAGTGTAGCTGAAGCTATACCAGCAAAGTTGCATTTTGTACCAGTATAGCGAAAGTCCCACACATGAGCAAAACGAGCTATATGGGCGAAAGTGCAGCTTGGCTGTATAACTGCATCTTCACTAGGACCTCTGCCCATCAGGGGTCCCACCTCTTCACACCCCTGACTGACTGAGTGATGCCAACAGAAGTCTGTAGTGGAGACCTGGTCTAACTGTTGTCCCAACCTCAGGATTTTGCCCTGGAGTGATGGGGAGGGAGAAAGGTCCTAGGGAGGTTGTGGAATCCCTGTCATTGGGGGTTTTTGAGAACAAGTTGGACAAACACCTGTCAGGGATGGTCTAGATTTACTTGGTCCTGTCTCAATGCAGAGGGCTGGACTTGATGACTTCTTGAGCTCGCTTCCAGCCCTACATTTCTATGATTTGATAATAAGGAGAGTGAAAGACAGGGACGTCTGGCTTGGGAAGGAACCAGGTCTGCAGCTCCCTGAAGCAGGGGGCAGCATGAGAGTTTTCCCAGGGTTGTGTGTTTGGGGCCCATGTGCCCCAGTGCTTGGGATACATCCCTGATGCCCCCCTATTGGTGTTTGTGGTCATGCTTATATGGGCTTCTTGAGGGAGAAGAAGGGAGCTATTTATAGGGTTGAAATAACCTGCGGTCTAGTGGGCTCGTGGGACTGCTATTCCTGGAGACCAGATTTCACCTTATTGACTCCGAAGTGCTCCCTGGGGGCACTAAGCACGAATAAATGCTCACCCAGGTCCTGCTGCTCTTTGCCTGAGACTGAGGGGAGGGCACACTTGCCTCTCTGGTCTCAGCACTTGTAAAAATCAGGTGTCTGTACGTTGCCCCTTGATCCTAAATCTAGCTGCTTATCTCTGAAAGCCCTGCCCTAGGTATAGACACTGCCAGCCTAGGCTCAAGTCATGAGGCAAGGTGTAGTGTTAACAGGCCCTCTAGGCCTTTATTAGGAGAGCCACCTCTGTGCAGCAGCTGGCCCCAGGCGCTGTTGCTGACTATCTAACAGACACCCCCACATATGGGCAGGGAACTCTGAGGGCATCCTTCACCCAGGATAGCAGGAGTGGGGGACTGCGAGGTGCCATGCTGCCTGCGTGCCCCAAGCTGTGGGACTCTGGGTACGGTGGAGTCAGCGAGGGCACCTGCTCACGTCATGTGCTCACCATGGCTGCACAGATGGGAGGGGGAGGTTCTGTTTTCCTCCCAGCCACAATAGCTTGTACAGGGGTGAAAACTGGGCTCCTAGCCCCATCACTGGATTCATAGGCACTGAGCTGGCTCTGGGGAGCACAGCATGAGATAAAAGCACAGGAGAAGGGTCTCTGCCTGCTGCCCCACCGCTCTCATCCCTAGCCTCAAAGAAACACTCAGGGCACCTCAGGTCTTCAGCTCTGGGCTTGAAAGAAGCCTGGGGCTTGCCCCTATATTTTGTTAACCCCTTCATGTCCAAAGGTGGGGCTCTTAACACAGTGTGGAGTTAACTGGGCATGGGATCCGGCACCATGAGGGGAGTGTACCCTACAGCCTTCCCTTAATCATGGGCCTGAGCCACTATCATAGTGTGACCCACCTTCTCTTCCTCCCTCCCTCGCTGTCACTCATTCCTGCCTCCTTCCTCCTCTCCCTGTCCCACTCCCCTCCCACGCCCCAGTTACCCATTCCATCTATCCTGCAGGATCCCTGCATCTCCCCCATTCTCTTCTGTCCCCACTTTCTCCATGCACTGGTTCCATCTGCCCCCGAGGCTGCCCCAACTCCGCCAAGCCTGGCTCCCTTTCCTGGTGTGTGTTGAGGGGTTCCCCAAGAGGTGGGTGGGTAGGAACAGGCTGGCCTGGGGCTTTCTGATGGGCATGTTCACGATCTGCCTGTCTCTTTCTCTCCCCCAGGTGACACGAGTGCCCGTGGAGAGCTGTGAACAATACAAGAGCTGTGCGCTGTGCCTGGGCTCCAAGGACCCCCACTGCGGCTGGTGTGTCCTTCATAACGTGTGAGTACGGCGGGCTCGTGCTGTGTGTCTGTGCCCCAGCTCTGCACAGCTGCCCTCTCTGCCCGGTCACCTGCAGGGCTGCCCAGGACAAACACTCACTGCCTCCCCCGAGCCCTTAGCCAGGGCTCCGCTGGGTCTCCCAGGACCAGCAAGGACATGAATCCCCACCCCAACGCGGCATAACAGAGCGCTGTTTCGTTGGGGGCTGAGCATGCTGTTGGATTTTTATTGCATGCCTTTTGCCTGTATGGATTTGTACTCTGCCCATCACCGTGGTATCTGAGTGCCTTCCACATTAAACAGATTGGGTGCCAGTCTGCTGCGCCTACAGGGACTGACGATAGGCCTTGCTAGAGCCAAGCGCAATACAGGCAGGGGCTGTGCCAGTGCCCATTGCTCCTCACCTGTCTTGCTATCCTAGTCCTGGGCACTGTCCAGCCTCCCCCCATCCCATTCCAGTCCTGGGCCCCTCACACAGCTCAGCCAGGGCCTCTCAGTGCTGACCTGCAGTCCCCCACTGTTCCCTCTCGAGTCCTCACCAGAGATGCTGGCCAATTAGCCTTGCTTGGGTGGTTTCTCAAGGTGCTGTTGCTGAGATCTGTGGTACATGCTCAGCCCCTACAGCTGTGGTCAAACCCCAGCAAAAGGAAGAATAGCCCATCTCAGCGGGTGTGACCCTCAGCTTCCTCCGCTGTGGGTGGTGTCGCCACTCACTGACTCTGTGGAGCGTGTGGGTGCAGATGAGAGCCCTTCAGAGAGAGGCATTGGCTGAGGGGTTGGTTCCCTGCCAGTTTCCAGCTGGTGGCAAACCAGCCTGGGAGATAAGGGCCTGTCCGCCTGGCTTGTGCTGTCTCGCGCTGGCTCCTCCGGCTGCGCTGTGTCCCCTGGAATGAAGTGGTGCTGCGAGGGTGATTGATGGCAGCCCACTCCGAGTCGCCAGCCATCTAGCGCACGGAGGATTCTGAGTGTCAGATCTGCCGGGTGGCTAAGGATTAGACATGAAGCTTCCCTCCCTGATGGGCAGGAGCTTTCCATCCCCCTGCAGCACACATTAACGCAGGCCACACGGCAATGGAGAAGCTCGCCCCTGCCGCCCTGGCTCAGCTGTTCTCCAGCCCTTCTGGGCTTGGCAGCTGCTGGGGCATGCAGGGTGCTGGAGTGTCGGAGTCTGGATCGCCCCATTAGCCCTTTGGAGTCCAGGGCATTTCGTCCCTGTGGTGACTTTCCCCTTCGTGACCAGACGATGGTGGTCCAGAGCCTGGTGTGAAGTGAGTTGCCGGGGCTCAGCCCAGTCCTGAGCAGACCGATGCCCACAGCACAAAGCTACCACCATGACAGGCACTAAGTACCCTCCTTGTGAACAGCCTCAGCAGAGCGGTCACGGACTGGGAGCCTTGGAGTCACTCTGCAGCACGGGTGGCAGAGGGCGTGGGGAGAGCTTGACCTGACACTGACCCTTGCCTCAGTCTCCTACGCTGCCTCCAGCAACAGTTGCTCCTAGGCAATGCACAATGGGGCTAAGCCTGTAGTGGGTGACGGACTCGGGGAGCTAATAGGGGCTGCCCATCTCTTCGTGCTGTGATGCTTACACCAGTTTCTCTCACACACATGCAAATGTGCCTGATTTCACTATGCCATCTAGGCCGGAAGTACTGGAGCTAACCTCTTTGTTACTCAGGAGGCCTGTGGAGAGCAGGAGCTTTACCTCTCAGAGGCCCTGTTCCTCAGCTCCCCGCTGGCAGCACGAAGCCAGTGTCGGTGGCCAAGGCAGCTGGCTGTGCTGTTGCACGTCGTGTGATGGTGCAGCTTGGGGAGAGGCAGCGGGCACAGTCAGACTTGCACAGAGCCAAGACCCCGTTGTGTGCCAGCACCCTTAGCAGTGAAGGTGGGCTACAAAGTGCAGACAGCGGGTGAGAGACGCTGTAGAATAGTCTCCTGCCTTTTGCACTGTTGGGCCTCTCACCTGGTGTGCACAGCGCAGCCAAAATGCAGCGCCTCAGGCGTGGAGGGCAGCAGTCAATGCCCAGTGGACAAAGCCATCTTTCTCAGTGTGCCCTGGGATCTTTGATGTCCATGCGGAGCAGGCAGGAGCTCAGTGTCTCCACTCTGAAGGACCCACATGCAGTAACCTGCATGGAACCAAGTTGATTGGCTCTGAAGGGCAAAAGGCTGAGCTGAGCCTGTTGGGATTTGTCCCAGTGGCTGTGAGGGGAGTTGAGGCATTACACACCTGAGCCATAGCGTGGTGAGCTATTCCCTCAAGCTTCCAGTCAAGCTGTAGTGGCCCTGTGGGGAGGAGGGGGTAGGCAAGAAGCAGAGGGAAATCGGGGAGGAGAGACCCAAACATGGGATGTGGGGCAGTCCGAGGGAATTTCTGCTGGATGGAGCCAGTGAACTCCTGGCTGGGGGCCTCACCCGGACCTTCCTTTTCCAGACTCGCTGGGCCTCATGCCATCCAAGGGGCAAAAACTGACGCCTCTCTCTCTATCCCCAGGGTAGATTTCAGGTCAGACCCAATGAGCCGGGCAATAGCTCCCCCAGCAGCGGCACATCCTGCTGTGGTGCACATGTGGTCAGCCACAGATACCTGTGGTTAGCAGTGATGCCGGCACAGCTGCCTGGATAGGCGGAGAGGCTAAACCACAGGGGCCCCTAACTCTGCCCTCCCTCCCCACCTGTGTCTGACAGGAATCGAAGTCATAGTGTTTCAGAGGCAAATCGCAGGCAGGGAATCATCCCTCATCCCTACTTACTGCAGGGAGGGGGCAGTGCTAATGGGCTGTAATTTGCTCTGGACAGCTGGGTGGGAAGGCCTTTAACCTGGCAGCCAGGCTTCCAGAGCTCAACTCCATGTGCAGGAGGGATGGGAAAGTGGCATGAAAGATAGAAAAACCAACACAAAGTTGGGGATTTTCTTTTGGGGGTTGGAATTGAAAATCACCTTGGAAGCGTGTCTCTCCCTGTCAAGCTCTGCCTCTCTAGCCATGCAGAGTGTTTAATTAAACCCTGAGCTGCCGTCTCCCTCCATGATCCCTCGGAGAGCTGGGGGGCTGGGAGGTGGATGGGATGGAGCGTATTTCGGGGTCTCCAAGGTACGGTGAGGCACTGGCATCTGCTCGGGATAAATCACCCAGATTACGGCCAGGATCTTGAAATGCGTGCAGGCATCTCTCTTTTTTTTTTCCTGCCCTCCATTTAATTAAACTTTTCCCATAATGGAATAATGTTGTTGCAGATAAAGGGAGGGAAAGCAAAGGGAAGTTCTTTGAACTCATTAAGGGGAAGCAGTGCGTCTTGAAGGGGCTGCAGAGTGGGGAAATGGCCCCCATGCCATGAGGGCTGGTAATTCCAGAGCTGCTTTCTGAGAGATCTGGTGATGTACTGCGGGGAAAGAAGCACTTAGAGCGTAGAGGAAAGATGGGGGAGCTTCAGCATGTTCTGGAGGAGCTGGTTGATACTGGTGCAAGGGGAGGAAGTAAGTTAGTGCACTATCCTCTGAAGACCTGAGACCATAGCAGGGTTTAGGGTACAAGTGGAAAATAATTTCTCAGGCCACCACACGATTAGACGAGAGCACCATCAAAAGAGCTGGGGGAGAGGGTTAGACTATCCAGGGCATGCTGCACCGCTGGGGTGGCGTACGTAGGCTGGAGTAGCTGGTTGGGGTGCCTTGGAAGAGAGCGGTGGGAGGTACCCAGGACTAGAGTAGCCGGGGGTGCTGCCCGGTGGGTGTGATACATCCTGTCCAAACACCTGCTCTGGGATTGGCTGTAGTTGTTCAGGGATTTAGGAGGGCTCCTGAGCCTGTCTGTAATGTGATGTCCATTCTCCATCCCACCCTGGTAAAGCTCTGACCTGTGAGTTTGCAGCATGTGGGTCCTCTAGTCTTGGCCAGCCTCTGAGCTCTGTGTAAAGCTCAGTGTCGCAGTAACTCCCCGTGACTGGCCCTCCCACAGGTTTGGGTGGTGCTTAGCTCTGAGCTCGGGGGATTCTCCTTGTCCTCACTGTGGCTGTTTTATTCCTCTGCAGCTGCTCGCGGAAGGACCGATGTGAGCGGGCTGATGAACCTCAGCGCTTTGCCTCAGACCTGCGCCAGTGCGTCCAGCTCACCGTCCAGCCCAAGAACATATCGGTCACCATGTCTGAGGTCTCGGTAAGCTGCTCAGCATGGGGATGTATAAGTGTCACCCGTGCTAGCTTCATTTTGGTGCTGTGGCAAAGTGAAGGCAACAATTTGAAATAAAAATGCAGTATCAAACAAATAGAAAAAATGGTAAATAGATAGTGATTGATTATAAATTACAAGTTCTGAAATCCAGAAAATTGATAAGGGAAGCTAAAGACAGGGAAAAATCCATTCCTGGCAGGACTAGGGCTAATAAGGATTTCTTTAAGTATATCAGGAACAAAAGAAATCCTGGAGATAGTAAAATTGTTAATAATGATGCAGAAAAGGCAGAACTGTTCAATAAATCGTTCTGTTCTGTATTTGGAAAGAAGCAGGATAATGTACTCGTATCACATGAGGTTGATGAAGTACTTTCCAGTCCATTAGTAACTAATGAGGCTGTTAAATAGCATCTACTAGGGATAAGCATTTTTAAATCGGCAGACCCAGTTAACTAGCACCTAAGAGCTGGCTAAGGAGATCTCTGGCTCACTGATGTTAGAGTTTAATAAATCTCTGTTATATAGGGGGAAATTCCTGAAGACTGAAGGAATGCTCATGCGCCAGTATTCAAAAAGGCACACCAGAAAGGGCTATTGCGATGACCTGCTTCACTACAGGCTGCTTAGCTTGACATCAGTCCTGGGCAAAATAATGGAAAAACTGATATGGGATTCAACTGATAAAGACTGAAAGGATAGGAATATAATTAATGCTGGTCAACATCGTTTTATGGAAAATAGGTCTTGTGAAACAAATTTGAATCCAGTCTTTGATGAGATTGCATGTTTGGTTGACAATGGTAACTGTGTAGATGTAATATACTTAGATTTGGTAAGGCATTTGATTTAGTAACACACAACATTGTGATTAAAAATTAGCACTATACAGTACCAATAAATCACATGCAAATGGACTAAGGACAGCTAACCAACGGATCTCAAAAAGTAGTTGTCAATGTGGACTCACCATCAAATGGGGTTGTTTCTAGTGGGGTTCTGCAGGGAGAGACTCAACGCTATTCAGTATTTTCATCAGTGATCTGGAAGTCAATATAAAATCACTGCTGGTAAACTGTATGGAGAACATGCAGATTGACAGAGTGGTTAATGGTGAGGCCAGGTTAGTCAGACCGAGCGATCTGCATCACTTGTTAAGCTGGACTCATTCAAACAGACTGCATTTTAATATAGCCAGATACAGAGCTGTGCATCTTGGACTAAGGAGTGTAGGCTCTTCCTACGGAATGGGGGATTCCGAAAGGGAGTTAGCGGTCGGAGTGGACAGGCAACTCCACACAAGTGCCCAGAGTGATTCTGTGGCAGAAGAGGCTAATGCAGTCCTTGGGTATATGAACAGGAGAGTAGTGGGCAGGGGAAGGGCGGTGATTTCACTTCTGTATATGGCATAGGAGAGACCAATACTGGAATACTTCATGCAGTTCTGGGGTCCACATTTTAAAAGGAAGTTGAAAAATTGGAACAGGTGCAGAAAAAGAGGCAAAAAAATATTTGAGGGCTGGAGAGAATGCCTTATTGAGAGAGAGACTTAGAGCTCAGTCTGTTTATCTCATCAAAAAGAAGTTGGAGTGTTGACTTGATTATGGTGTCTAAGTACCTTCACGGGGAGAAAATAACAGGTACTAAAGGGCTCTTTAATCTAGCGGAGAAAGGCATGAGAACAACCAATGGCTTCAGTGAAAGCCAGATAAATTTAAATTAGGAATCAGGCATACATTTCTAACAGTGAGGGTGATTAACAATTGGAATAGACGCTCAAGGGAAGTGGTGGATTCTCCATCTCCTGACGTCTGCAGATCAGGACTGAATGCCTTTTTGTAAGAGGTGCTTTAGCTAAACACAAGTTATTGGACTCAGTGCAGAGGTACCTTGATGAAATGCAATGGTCTGAGCTATGCAGACCATTGAGGGGGGGATTTGATAGCAGCCTTCAACTACCTGAACGGGGGTTCCAAAGAGGATGGAGCTCGGCTGTTCTCAGTGGTGGCAGATGACAGAACAAGGAGCAATGGTTTCAAGTTGCAGTGGGGGAGGTCTAGGATGGATATTAGGAAACACTATTTCACTAGGAGGGGGGTGAATCACTGGAATGGGTTACCTAGGGAGGTGGTGGAATCTCCATCCTTATAGGTTTTTAAGGCCCGGGTTGACAAAGCCTTGGCTGGGATCAGGGGAGGATCTAGTTTTTTTGCCGCCCCAAGCACGGCAGGCAGGCTGCCTTTGGCGGCATGCCTGCGGGAGGTCTCCGGTCCCGCGGATTTGGCAGCATGCCTGCAGGAGGTCCCCGGTCCCACGGCTTCGGCGTACCCACCGCCGAATTGCCACCGAATCTGCGGAACCGGCGGACACCCCGCAGGCATGCCGCCAAATCCGCGGGACTGGGGACCTCCCGCAGGCATGCCGCCGAAGGCTGCCTGACTGCCGTCCTCGCAGGGACTGGCAGGGCGCCCCCCGAGGCTTGCTGCCCCAGGCATGCGCTTGGAGCGCTGGGGCCTGGAGCCGCCGCTGGCTGGGATGATTTAGTTGGGGTTGGTCCTGCTTTGAGCAGGGGGTTGGTCTAGATGACCTCCTGAGGTCTCTTCTAACCCTAATCTTCTATGATTCTATGCAGGAAGTCAGACTAGATGATCTAATGGTCCCTTCTGGCCTTGCACTCTCTGAATCTCACCTCCTTCCTTGCCCCCGGAATTTTCAGGAATGAGCGAGTGTTTGCTTCCGGACTGGGGGCCGGGCTCCCCTGCTGGATTTCAGGGAGCATGTGGGTACTGTTCCTGGCCTGGCCTGTTGGCTGAGCTTGGTCTGGTTGATCAGTAACAAGTTCCTCTTGTTAGCTGATTCTCTGTGTGATAGTTCTTCCTCCTTTCCCCAGCTGGTTCTGCAGGCCTGGAATGTCCCCGATCTCTCTGCTGGGGTAAACTGCTCCTTTGAAGATTTCACGGAGTCTGAGAGCCGCATTGAAGACGGGAGGATCTACTGTAGCTCTCCATCTGCAAAGGATGTGATCCCCATCACCAGGGGCAGGGGTGAGTTTAGGAACCACACTTGGTCCATGTCACCTTTACAATGGCTGCCTGACATACCTTGCAGGACTTTCTCATGGAAGCCACATGCAGATAGGAGCTGGGCTGGCCATTGGCTTTCCCCTTATGACTTAGTTCTTAGACACACCATCCCTGCCCCGTGGGTGAAATTAGCAGTGCTGTAGTCTCCTCAGGAGAGCAGTGCAGAGGCCCTATCATTTGGGGCATTTAAAGCTGGCCTGGACCAGACATGAGGGAATGCCCTTTCAGGATCAGTCCTGCGTTGGCCCTGGGGAGATGGCTGGGTGAGCTAGCAGGTCTTTTCCGTGTCCAACGGTGCTGATGCTGTGGTGCTGGACGTGCAGCAGTGGGAGAGACTGTTTCTGTTCTCTGCGCATTTGAATGTGCATGTAACTGGGCAGCCATTTGTCTCAGGGATAGAGTCAGGGGCACATTCCAGTGGCACTGCTGGGGAGGGCCGAGGGGGGTGGCAGGCCAAATTTCAGTGAGTGGCACGGTGACTTGGGGCAAGGGGTCACAACGCCAGTCAGATTTGGCCCAGCCACTCCTCCTTCTGGGCCAAATGGTGTAGTGACCTGTTACACAGAGAGGCTGTCCCTGTATAGCGGCACTCAGGGGAATCCGCCAAGAACTCGGCTCCTGGAGGCGCTGGTTCATACGCTGTGTGGGTAAGAGAGGGGAGACTTAGCTAAGGAGGGGGTAGATGCTTCATTGTGTTCTGCCCTCACCCTCTCCCGCTTCTTGGGCACAGCTGCCTGTAGATGGCCCGAGCGCCTGACTGTCAGTCTAGCATTGCAGTACCCTACAGGGCTCTGTGGCACCTCATTCCTTAGCACTAGAGCATTCTCCAAACAGGCTGATTTTGCAGCAGACTCCACCAGACTCTTTTGCTGGCCTAGACTGTTCCAATATCTGGTTTGGGGGCCCTCCTCAGCCCCGCACCCTGCTGCTACCATAACACAACCCAGGGCGTGTGCGCCTCCGATCCCCCCCCTCCAGCTGCCAGCACCGCGCAGAGCAGGAAGCTGGAGGGGTACTGTCCTCTGAGCCCTGCCAGCCAATCAGGAGGCTTCCTGAAGGAGAACCCTTCCTTTTTATCTCAGTAACTGGGTGATTTTGTTCGCTATTTGGGGTTATTTCGCGCCTCAGGCAACCCCCACACGCTCGCTCGCTGCTGAGCCACGTGCTCCGTTCCATAGGCCTCTCTCTGATCCGTGTCCTTTGTGCCCGTGGCCCCTCTCTGAACAGTGCATGCACCTTGTTCTCTTGCAGGCGACAAGCGGGTGGTGAAGCTCTACTTGAAGTCCAAGGAGACTGGGAAGAAGTTTGCTGCTGTGGATTTCATTTTCTACAACTGCAGCGTCCATCAGTCGTAAGTGACCTGGGCTGCGTGAGTGCGTTCTGGGGAGGGGTCAGAGTAGGGCATGAGAGACGGAGACAGGCAGAAGCAGGCAGGGAGAGATGCCAGCTATGCACCTAAGAAACGTGTGTAGACAGGCCCAGAGGGTGCTATCTGTGTGCTATGGCTCACTGGGATTTGGGGTAGGATTGTTGGCAATCTAAGCCATCTGGTCTTCCCCTTAAGTTTGGTGTAATGAGGGGGCAAGGACTGGGTCAAGGCCCTTGAGATCAGGGGAAACCTCTAAACAGTCATGCTTTATAAATCCATCTCATCCTTGTTGTGCAGCTAAGAGAGCGGGAGTGGGAGTCCATTCCTGCTGCTTCTCCAACAGAACTGTTTGCAAAGTTCCAGTCAGACACACCTGTGCAATCTCATGGAAGGTCATCGTGCTGCACAGGTGGCACTCAAGACAATAGGGTGTCTGTGAAGGTGTAACTTGGCCTGCAGAACCAGGAAGGGAAGAGCCCACAAGTGTGACATTCTGAGTCTACGCTGGGTTTGCAGGACTGGCAGTTAGATAGCCCCCCGCACCCGGCCAGTTTCTTTACATGTAAACGAAGCGCTTGGACCTGGAGGCAGGCGTGAGACAATAAACATGGAGCCCTACAGTGCCTCTTTTCTACAGTCGCTGCTCAGAGCAGAAGCTCATTTGAAAACTAGGATTTTCACTCCTTAGCCATTCCTGTGACTCAACCTCCTCTTTTAGGAGCTGAGCATCTTGTTACTCCTCCGAACAGTTAACATGCAGGGCAGGAATGACTTGGCTATGCAGAACTCATGAAATCCGACGGTTTCCTAGGGCTGTTGGCTGGCAGGTTGGGAGGTTCCTGCGAGGCTGCATGGAACATCCTGCGTATGGTGGGGCGTTTGCCCAGGAGTTGTCTAAGTGGAAGTAGCCGTGGATTAGGTTTCTATCCAGACTCTTTGGAACCTTCTTTAAATGTGGATCTAGGGGGTCTTTGAGCCAGGCTTGTGATAAAATAAGGGGTGGGATATGTGGACTATTGGGATATGCACTGATGGGTGATATACCCCATGCTTAGATAGTACGGCAATAAGTGTAGAATGCAAACTTTAGTTAGAGAAGAATCTGGGGTGTATTTGGGCAAAAAATTCAGAGCTCAAGAATGTGAGTGGTTCTGTTCTGCCAGAAACCCTGTATTCAAGAGACAGGGTGATCAATGATTCCAGCAGAGTGAATGTCTGGCAATGTGTGTTGGAAAGTTTCCTGCAGAAGAGTTTAGCTCCAAATCAGAGGGGCAGCCTGGAGCTCTGCTACAAAAAGCCTCTTCAAAGACAATTCATCAAACAAGCTGAGTTTTCAACTTTGATCAGGGAAAACGCAGTTGAGATGCGGGAGTCCCAGAATGCTGCCTGGAAACCTGCAGTGAATATTCAGGCTTCAGCATCTGGGGCGGCTGGTGAACAGGAGAGCCTGAATACGCCTATCTGTACCTATCTGCCAGGGAGATGTCTGGATCCAAGCGGAATTGGGAAGGGCCTCTGGGGCATAAAGGCTGGGCATCAGAACAGAGCAGTCAGGACTGTGAGGTGGATAGTCGAGGCTGTGATGTACAGACAGGAATGCTCCCTCTGGGTATTTTGTATTGGGGAGGTGAGGCCGGTCCCACGTCTGGCAATTTGGTACTACCTGCCGCTTCTTCAGAGAGCAGATCTTTTCTCCTTTGCAGAGCGAGGGGGAAAGAGAGTTTTAAAACTGGACTTTCTCTCTCACCTTGACCCCAGAGAAGAGCTCTGTCTCCCTTCATGTCGTGAGATTTCAGTAAAGTGAGATCAGCTTGGGCTGGGGAAAGTTGCATGACATTATTTTGCAAATTTAAAAATCAGGTGTGATTTTAAAAAAATAAATCAGTAAAAGAAACAAGACTTTTAACTACAAGTGGCATCAACCATGGCCAGATTGGGGGCCCATCGTCTTGGTCTAGAGGGGAGAGATGCTGAGCGAAGTGGCATTTTATTTTATGGGCATGACGTAGAAATAAAAACCCATAACAAAAATCCCTGCCTGATTTATTACCAGGTTGAGGTTTGATTTTGGATGCATTATTTAAAAAGGCTAATTATGGATGCATTAATATTTATGGGCTCTGGGTTAGAGCTGATAGAAAAGTCCTTGTTCAAGGCTGTTGAACATTTTTATTATTTTCTTTACGTCAAGGATTTTAGAGTTTGGAGGCAATTTTAATTGTGTGCCCTGCAGTCAAGTCATAGCCAAAGAACATGACAGTATCCAGGGTGATGCAATACATTTAAATACCATTTGCAGACAGGTGGCTTTAATGGATCTCTTCAGAGTTAATAGCCTTTTGGATCCAGGTTTCGTATTTTGCAGAGGAAAATCTATAAGTCAGCCTGATAAATTCTGTATTAGGAACAATGTGCTTTTCCACAAGGCTAATGTTTTTACTGTCTAGTTTTCTGATCACCATGTATTATGTTTTACTTTTACATTTGGGCAGCTTCACTTAGGTCAGGAGTCAAGGGCCTGAGTGTTGAATCATTCCTCTGCTTGAGGATTAAAAGGTTTGGAAGATTTTCAAATCATTATAGAAAGATAGAAGAATTGTGGGCCAGCTTAAATTGGAGTAGCTACAGGGAAGTCAAATGAAGTTCCACCAATTTACACCAGTGGAAATGCTGGCCCAGTGTGTTCTCAGCAGAGCTCTGGAAAGGCACCGACAAAATTTGCAGCTAAAATCCATTTGTAGATTGTCGGTCTGGTCCTGCCATGCGTGGAGAGCCTTTGATTCCTGTTGCCATGCATGAACTGGGCTCTCTGTGCATGTTCAAAGGGCCCTGGGAATCTTGGTCTGGCTGCAGGGGAGACTTGGATAGGGGAACAGCATGTTACCCCCCCCTCCTTTTTATTTTTAAGTGACCATAATGAAAATGAATCATCAATAGTCAAAGATGAGCTAAAAATAACTTGTTTAAAAAGTCTCTCCTGTGAATGTATCTTTGAGAGAACAACGTAAGGGGACTCTATCCTATTTCTCTCTGATTTGTTATCTTAGGGCTTTGTACTTCCAACCAGCACCCTAGACATGGGCTCCTCTCCCCGATAGATTAGCATAACCAAATCTCTAATGGATTTCACTGGCATTTCTCCTTTCCCTGGTTATAGGGAGCTCTGCTTGGGGGGCTTAGAAAGTCTTTCCCTGCATTACTGCTCATCACCTCAGATGACGACAGCAGAAAGAATTTAAGCAATCTCCTTTACTTTTCCGCTTTGCTGCTGCTTGTTTTACTCTTTGGACCTCCTCAGCTTGGGGGAAGGGAAACCTCAGGCTGGTCACTTGCACTTTCTATTTCTGGTGGGTTGTGTTTTCTGTTTCTCCAGCGTAGTGCTGCCATGCTGGGTTTTCTGATAGCCCAGGGGAATGTTGAAATCAACAACCACAAAAGGCTGTTTATATTGAAAGCTTTTTAAAAAATCCATGAAAACATTTCGACTGGTGTTAGGTTTTTGTAAATTGCCTCTCCTCCCCCTCTCTTACATTCCTTTCCAGCATTTACAACCTAAATCTCCTGATGCCGGCTACAATTTTCATAAATGGTTAGTGTTTTACGGTGCCCAACTTTAGAGGCCATAAAAGGGCCTGATTTTTGTAGGGTGGATGAAAATCAGGCCCTCTAAGGTGTCTCAAGTCGGGCACCAAAATCCCTTGAAAATCTTGTCACAACTCCCTTCAAGGAGGAGGTGAGATCTTGATCCCACATCTGGACGTCATTCAATCCTCTTTCTCTTGTAATTTCCTCTGGTGCAGGCACTCCCTTGGTGGCGTAGGGCAGGCATAATGGTCCAGTGTCACCGTCCCCACACAATCTGTGGCACAGGAGTATGCTATGGAGTGGGTCAGGGTGGGAAGAGGCCTGTTGGGGCTGGAAGGCTTGTGCGAGTGTTCCAGCTATTCTGGGCTGCAGAGCAGCCTGTATGTAGCTGTGGGAAGTTGCCGTAAGGTAGAACAGCCAGTAGTGCTACTGTAACATGTGCCGAGGTCTGGGCTTAGAGTTTTGCCCACTGCCATCCGGAGCTGGGCCTCTTGCAAGGTGCAGGTGGGAATCAGAGCCCTTGTTTCCAGTATAACTGCCGCATTACAGCGTCACCAGGAAAGCAGACCTTGTCCTGAGCATCATCGGGCTTGAATTAAAATAGAAACTAGCTAGGTTTGCTTGAAAACAAGTCAGTTTGTGTTAGCGACAAAGATAATGCACCTTATTCCTGATTTCCGTAGTAACCTCTTGCAAGGGAAGGACACTGACAAGGAGACAGGTGGGGGATTCTCAGTAATGGCCCCTTTTGGGAAGCTCTGGATTTCCATGCTCCAATTAACAAACAGGAATTGGGAGAGGCTTGGAGTCCTCCTGGTAAATCCGAGACGGGAGGAGGAGGGGGTTAGAACTCTCTTTTATAAATGCCCCCATGAGTTAATCTGTTTTGACCTTGTCAATATTTTCCAAACTGCTTTGAGAGGGGAGAGCCGTGACAGAGCCTCGCAACGATTCTCTCCTCGCTCTGCTTTACAGAGAGAGGAATCACCGTGACACTAGGAATTGGAGGCCTATAGCACCTCTCAATACAGATTATCCAATTCTCACTAAAGTGCTGTTGACTGTTGACAAGGTTGCCCCACAGCTGATTTTTCAAGGCCAGTCCTATGTGACATCTAGCAGACGCTCTATCCTTTCAGAAAAAGCTGCGACAAGACGACCCGGGCTCCTGTTTGTTAAACCTAGATTAGCACAGAGTGTTTGACTATGTACTTGTTCCATGTGCTGGGGGCGTCTGCGGTTCTATGTATAGTGACTAGATAAGGCTGAGCTTTCCCTGAAATGCCTGGGGGAGGCCTTTGAGGTAGTTAAGGGGTAGCTAGTTAGTGCTCTTAGTGTGAAGTCTGAGGCTAGAGCAAGCTGTCCTGAGCCCACGGCCGTGTTTTCACAAAATCTTT